TTTTATTTTTTTTTAGATAAATTTTCCGTACACTTGGATGTTATTGTTTATAAAAGAAAAATATACTTGAAATTTCATTTAATTTTATTTATTTTCCTTTTTTTAATGTAATTTATTTTTCATTTGCTTTTAATTTTTAGATTTTATTGTTTTAAAAAGAGAAATATACATTTTTATTAAATTTTAAGATCGTATTTTATGTTTTTGTTTTTAATTTGTTGCTAATTTTCTTTTAAATTTAGATTTTGTTTTAAAATCAAAAAAATTCTTTTATATAATTTGAAAATTTTTTGTAGAACTAATTTCTCCCTCTTAGATGTAAGAAAAAAAAATATTTTTATAATTGCATTTACTTTTTAAATATATTATTATTTGTTTTTTTAATTTAATTTTACTTTTGTCTTTCGAGAACTGTGGTGAGTTGAAACAGAGTTGCCAGAATCAGGGTACTGCCCTACCAGGATTTTCTCTAATGAGACAAAGATGTAACTCTTTATTTAGCAGGAATTCGCAAAGGGATCCAGCTCCAAAATGATTCCGAATTATGCTGAAATATTTTTAGGACAACTTCAGCTGCAACGATTTTCAGTGAGGCATCCTAAATACGAGCATTACAAATGCATATAAATTTAATTCATTTATACATTTCCCCTTGCATGCAACGACAGCAGTCGCAGCCACAGCGATGTCTTCACATTACACTTTACCCACACTTGCAATCTTTTCTATTACATATGTATCTATTCTCAACGCTGCATGCACTACTCGCTTGCATACGAAAATACTACGTGTCGTATGAGTAACCTTAAACCACAATCAAGCGAAAGTTTGCAAACAACACACACACACACACACACACGCAATTGCTGATACTCATCTCACAGCTGAAATTAAATATTTAACTTAAGGCGTCAAGCTTAAGTGTGTTATGCGCGCATATGTACATAAGTACACATATAAACTTGCATACAAGTTGCTTCCAAAGTAGTATCTATTTCTCCAAAATATCACTCGGCACCCGCGCGCTGCTCGTAGTCTCCAGCGATTAACAGTTGCAGATAGCATTGCAGATTTGTGTTACTGATTAAATGTTTTCGGGTTGACACAGTAGCTTAGAAAAGTATGTACATGTATATGTATATGCAGCTACAAGCTTCTTGCCGCTGATGGCAGTAAGGGAGTGTGATTTCAAAACTTTTAATGCCAACTCTAATCGCCAAAGATTTCAATGAGCGCAAAACTTTAAAATGGCTGCAAAATTTACTTAAGGTCAGTGAAGTGGGTAAGAAATAAATGCGTGCAAGTTCTCTTGAGTGTGTGGTGTTAAAGCGCATTAAAGAGATTTAAGCAAAGTGCTGGAAGGGCGCTAAAATCTGGTTTTAAACATTGAGCAAAATTAAAGTGAGTTTGAAAATTTGCGATTTTAGTTATAAATAACTTCAAGCTTGTTTTGTGGTGCTTTTCTTTATATAAAGTAAGCAAACGCTAAGTGTGGATGCACTCCGTACTCAGAGGTTAAAAGTAATCTTTAAATTGTGGTGAGGTTATCGAATTAAAAGCAGCGAAGAGATGAGCTTATTCTGGTATACCTTGGAGTCGAAGGAACAACTTTCGATCTCAAAATAATTTCCACCCATGCATCGAGATATTTTCGGAGAAGTAAAGCTATGGTTAAGGGGCTCAACGCAAGTAAAAGAGTCGCACAACCAGCTGGAACCTTAGCAGAAACCGGCATGGACTTGCACTCTTCTATCAGTAAAGCCCCTAGATAGGCTGATAGCCAGCCTGCGGTCATCCCCGTCTCTGGAGCTGCGAAGCTAATAAATAATGGCTTACTCTGATTCTCTAACGGCACCCAAACGATTTCCGACTGCTCAACAGATTGAGGTAACTAATCGCAGCATAGTAAATAGCACCCAAAGAACTAGGTCGGAGGTTTCTGCGATTTCGAAGTGGAGTCAACAGCGATTTACGACTTGACTGAGTGGTCTCACCGTCTGGCGCAAAGTCTCAGACCGCTCGCAGTGCGACTATATTGATGGAAGGGGAACACAGAGGCTGTCGATGAGATAAGATGGGGTTTCTCGTTCAACGTTCACTCCGAAAGAAGCAATAAAGACGCTGTAACCTAATCTGCATCATGCCAAAAGGAAATTGGCCACGTTATGTAGTTTAGCCATCGAATAGAGCTTCGTCATTGGCTTATTTCGCTCGAACGCTGGTACACTGAGTGTCACGTAAATAAGCTCAGCCAGTCAGGTTAATTACATTCCGCTTACTAATTTTATTTTGACGGATTTCGCCGCTTGTTGTCGATGTGTCAACGGTAGGCGTAGTTAAAGGAGTCGTAATTGCATTTGCCTATATTTTTGGTGAAATGCCTATCATACCACCAACGGAATTCCAGCAGCTCGTCAAGATTTATCGGCATAGAAACCAGCTATTTATCAGCGGATGCGATGCTTTTTGTATGGACTCCAATTCTTGTTTTCGTTCAAGCGGCAGCATGCCTGAGAGATTTGCAAATGCAGGAGGGTATTTTGAGATATTGAAAGTGGCGGGTTTTCCGATTGCATGCCCCAAAGAAGTGCGGTCCAAAATCCTAAACCGAGATTTTTGCGTCAAAATCGCACACCGAGATGTTTGGAAAAATGTGCGCCCTTTCATAAATTCCAAATATGGGTGTATATTAGGGTGGTCCAAAAATGCATGTGAAAAGACTAAAGTGAGGAATTTAACACCCATTTTTTTATTTCGAAATAAAAACAAAAAATATTTTTAGGTAGCTCAAAACTTTCCTTGTATATTACTGTGTTCCCTTCAGGAGGCTTCCA